CGCTGAACGCCTTCCTCCTCGCGAACCAGCACGGAACTGATTGCACCTTGGGAAACCCCAAGATAAAGGATTAGCGTCTCCCCCCTCTCCGGCTTGCTGAGTAAAGGCTCAGAGAGGAGGTACTTCTTCAGGTCGTCGAAGGCTCGCTGACACTCATCATTCCAGACGAAACCATTTTGTTTCTTTAGGACCTGGAAGAAGGGTAGGGACTTCTCGGCGGACTTGGACATGAAGCGTCTGAGGGCTGCTAGACGGCCGGTGAGAATCTGGACTTCTTTCACTGACCTCGGGGGTTCCATGTCAAGTATTGCCCTTACCTTCTCAGGATTTGGCTCAATCCCCCTCCGTGTGACCATGTACCCCAGGAACTTGCCTCCTTGGACGGCAAAGGTACATTTCTTCGGATTCAGGCGCAGACGGACTGCCTTCATGATCCCGAAGATCTCTGCCAAATCATCTGCATGATCGGACGCCTGGGTGCTCTTGACGATCATGTCGTCAACATACGCCTCCATGTTCCTTCCGAGCACCTTCCGGAATACCTTGGCCACCATCCTCGTGTACGTCGCCCCAGAGTTCTTCAGCCCGAAGGCCATGACAAGATAACAAAAAATCCCCTCTGGGGTGACGAACGAGGTCTTCTCCGCATCTTCTTCGTGCATGAAAATCTGATGGTATCCTCGAAAAGCGTCCATGAAGCTAAGGAGCTCACATCCGGCCGTCCCATCGACTAGTTGGTCGATGTTAGGCAATGGGAATGGATCCATCGGACATGCCTTGTTGAGATCGGTGTAATCAACACACATCCTCCAGGTTGGCGGCTTCGGGGCCAGGACCACGTTTGCCAGCCAAACCGGGTACAAGACCTCCCGGATATGCTTGATACTCAGGAGCATGTTGACCTCCTTCTTCACGAATTCCCTCCTCTCGGTTGAGAGGTGTCTTCTTTTCTGCTGGATGGGCTTCGCCGTTGGATTGACCGCCAGCCGATGGACAACGATGCTTCGGTCAAGTCCAGGCATGTCCTCCGGTCCCCCCGCGAAGACAACGCTAAAAAGGACAAGTACCTGGATAATCTTCTCCCTCAAGCGGACCGGGAGCCCGGTCCCGATCTTGACCTTCCGCTCCGGCCTCTCAGGGTCAATCTGGATCTCCTCCACGTCTGAGGTGGGTTCAACGCGGAGCTGACCCTCCTCATACTTCATGGCTTTGCTGTTGATAGTGTGGATCCTCAAGTCTTTTTGACCGATTTGTTTGCAAGCTTTCAGATAGCAGCTCCTCGCCATTCGCTGATCTCCCCTGGCGACTCCGACGCCATCCGGAGTGGGAAACTTCATGCATAGGTGCTCCTGGGATATCACACATCTGAGGTCTTCCAGGGCCGGCCTTCCCATGATGATCTTATGCGCACAAGTTAGGCGTATGACGATAAACTCGACGTCTAACTTGGATACGCAGGGCTCGGAGCCCACCATCACAGGGAGGACTATGCTGCCCTCCGACTCAATGGAGTCCCCGGTGAAGCCTGAGAGTGGGGTTCTCACCGGGATCAAGTCTTTTCGGTCCAGCCCGAGACCTTGGAAGGTGTCATAGTTAGGGATGGCAACGGGGCGGATCGGGTACGGGTACACATAAAACTGAAACCGCCCCGTTAGATAAATGTTTCCCCCAAAACCGCCCCATTACCCGTTCGGGTAATTTTTATTTGAACCGTAACCGCCCCAACGGGGAATCGGTTTATCCACGGGTACCCGTTTGCCTAAATGATACCAAATAATCAATTTCTAACCCTACTTGTTAATGTAAACATCCTTCGTAGTAAATTATATATTAAAAGCACCATAAAATATACAAAAGTAAATGTTCAAGCAATCAAGCAGTTTTAGTCCTAAATTCATTAATATGACAAGCACTCAATATCTCTCGTAACATAATAAAAAAAGTAGTAAAAAGAAGAAAAAAGGAACTGGGTCGAATCCTTGATAATGAGAAAGATAGAAACCACCGACGGTAGAGCCGAACTGCAGGCCTTGCATCGTTCCATCTAGAAAGATCGAGCCCTGAACCATAAATCCGTAATACACTGAGTTATGGATGTTAGGGTTTTTGAAGTGGACCTCTGCTATAGTAGTCTTTATATAGTTATATGAGATATACGATTTAGTGTACACAATTTAGCATATATACTTTTTATTCTTATATATATATAAAGTTATATTTTATTAATAATGTTATGGGTCGGGTAACGGTGCGGATACCCGCACTATTAGTGAACGGGGCAGTTTCAGGGCGGATAACGGGGCGGATTAGTATAGAACCATAACCGCACCATTATCCATTTAAAAAAATCGGGTATTCCCCACCCCGTACCCGTTCCCCGGTCAAACCGGTTTTCCCCAGTTTGACTAAATCTGTTTGGTGCGGGTAACCAACAGATCGGTCGAAATTGCCATCTCTAGTCATAGTACATGATGTTAACGGAGCTCCCATTGTCCACCAGGACTCGGTGGACGATCGTGTTGTTGATTTCGACCTTGATGACCAAGGCATCCCTGTGCGGCGGAGGCATCGGTGGCAAATCTGCGTCGGTGAAGAAGATGGGGTCCCTTTTCACCCTCTTGTCGGCGGGAGCCCTGGTTATCTCCCCGACGTATAGGGCTCGGGCCCACTGCTTCCGCTCTCCAGAGGTGTCGCCTCCCTGGGGTCCCCCGAATATGAATGAACATCGACGGTACTTCCGGGGGCCGTTCCCTAGGTCGGCATCGTCTTCCTCGGAGAAGGCGCCGAGCTCCCGCTTCTTGGCAGGGGGTGTCTCCTTTGACGTGGTAGCTTGGTCGGACCGCTGCCACGTCAGGCTCCTCTTCTGCGGGATGCCTCCTTGTTTGCCAACGAATTGGCCCAGGTATCCTTTCTGGATGAGTTCTTCAATTTGCCGCCGAAGAATGACGCAATCATCTGTATCATGCCCTGCTCTCCGATGGAATCGACAATATTGGTCGTGGTTGCGCTTGGCAGTCACCACATCACACTCCTCAGGAAAGTCGACTAAACCTTGCTCCTCCGCGTAGTCGAGGATGGCCCCGACCGGCTGAGCAAGTGGAGTCAATTGCTTGACGGAATGCTCCCGCGTAGTCGAGGATGGCCCCAACTGGAAGGAATGCTCCCGGGTAGGCTGGACCGCAGGCTCCCAGTTGGGCTTCCGCTCCTTGATTGCCCTGGTTGGTTGGGCTGACTCGAGCTCTGGGTTGCTGGGCTTGGGCCCGCTGGTCCAAGTTCGGGGCCTGGGCCGATTAGGCTCTGGGCCTAGTCCCATAACCCCATCATTATTTATAGTTCATTTTTTATTTTTGTTGGATTTAATAATTTTAGTATTTCACGTCCAATTAAATGAATTGTATTTCATGGCGGCATTATTGCTCTGCATTACTGCATTATACATCATAATCACTGCATTTATTGCCAATTTTGTAACAATATTTATTGGCTTCGAATCAGTGCACAATAATACACTTCATCAATGTATTCATTTACTATCCATAGATAACACTATAAATTGCTATGTTCACTGTCCATATTCAACACTTTTTATTGTGATGTTCACTGCCCATGTTGAATGCCCCACAAACCCTAATTTCAAGAAATAGAAAAAGAAAAAATTCAAAAACCCTAATTTCAAACAAAAGAAAAACAATGGAAATTGTGGTTGTTATGTTAGTGAGGTCCACTACCCACTCAACAAATTAATTAAATCCAAATGCTACCTTATCCCCCACCTACACAAGCAACCAATTCCGTCATTCCACACAATTTATACCTTATCTCTTGCCAAAATAACTTTGGGTAAAGTTGGAGACGTTCCATCGTTCATCTCGCTTCACTAGAGACACAGAAAAATGTGAAGACGAGATGGATGGATAGAATGGGCTAATCAAACTTCCCACATGTGTCGATCTTCACCCATATTGTTCCCAATCGACGTACCAAAGTGCGTGCAGATCAGGATGCAGGATGAAATCGACGATAGGGAGTTGCAGAGGGTGGCGGCGGTGGCCGTGTGGTTGGATGGTGGTGGCTGGGCAGTTGAGCGGCCGTGCGGCCGTGCTGAGGCAGGGTAGAGGCTAGCGATCATTGGCTACGTTTGAGAAAATGAGTTGGATATTTGGGTTTTATAATAACATCTTAAGGGCATGTTAGTCCATAAAAATATTTATTTATTGGTTTATTAATATATTAATTAATTAGGACGAATTTAACTATTATTTTGGGAAATAAAGTAATAAGGTCATAGATTGGGAAATCTAGGGTAATTAAAGATCATCAAAAAAAGCATTGGAAAAAGGCATTGATTTTTTTACGACCTTCGTGACAATGGTGCAAATAGGATGCAAATATTACACTTTGTGTAATCTTATTGTTTTATTAAAAAGGATGCAAATATTACCCCGAGCCTTTTGAAATACATAAAAAAGTGACAATTTAAAAAAAATGATTAACCTTTTCACGGTGACAATAAGATCTATAAGTGACATAACAAATCTAGTTGTGTTTTTCAATTTCATTACTGAGTACATTTTTCATCACATTTTTATCATGTATAAATAGTCACTTTTTTGAAATGAACTTCAATTTAATGTATAGGTGCTTTTTTAGTTCTCTTATTAGTTGTACTCTTCTCTTAGGAGTAGTAACTAAAAATTTAACTTTAATGTAAAATAAAAATATACTCGGGTGGTCAGTAGGAAAGAACCTATAAATCCATTAATATACTATCTCCGTCTCATTTTAGTTTCTAGTATTTGACTTTTCCGGTCTAAAAAGGTAAACTTTGATGAATTATTTTAACAAATATATTTATGTAAATTTTAAAAAAGAAAATGATAACTTAATTTAGAGTCTGTCCAAAAAAGAAAGTGGTAACTTAATTGAGACTCGGAGGGACTATATAACCGGACAAAAGGTACATACGGTTAACTTGGAAAAGTTGAGTTTGGAGGAAAAGAAAAGATGGAATTAGACAAAAACCCAAAGTCAAAGTTCAAATTCGCATGCAGCCGTACTTAAAAATTACCGCCCACCCACCACCCGCCACTTCAGCATCGCGTGCCATCGGCATCTTTTCCGATAAGAACTGAAACTTGAATTTCTGGTTAAGAAGAAGCTAGGATGGTCGAAGTGAATTGGGAGCTGAAGAGCTTCTGTAACCACGATCAAAGGATCTTCCTTGTCACAATAGGCGTTTACTCCATTGTTATCCTCGTTGTATGTCTCTCTGCTTAATCATCTCCTTGTGCATATACTACACTCCACTTTATTGAGTTCTTTTCCGGTTAGTTGTTTTACTTTTCTCCCCCTTCCTAAATTGTGAAAGTTTTTGCTAAATAATTCTAGATGTGTTAGCCGGAGGCGCAAAATAGGAATTAGAAATCGAGAAGAAAATTGTATGTAAACAAAATTAGGAGGATGAAAGCGTGTGCATTCAAAATATCAGTTTTACATCATTAACGGATTTTGCACATGAATTCTGAAATCCCCATAGTACATCGAATTGTTGATAAAACATGGTTTCACACTTGGGAATTCACATAGAGAAGGAGCATGAAATTTATTTATACCCGAGAATTAGTAGTTCTTGCCACGATTCGAAAAGTGTAGAAATGTGTTATAGTATACTTGGAAAGTACCATCCATTCTTCAATTATCACAACAAATCGGCAGGATCAATTAATATAGAGTAACGGGACCTGGGGCAATAATAAAGAAGGAAGACGTTCTTTTAATATAATTGCATTGAAATAAATGAAGAAGAAACATACATGTACAAGGAGAAAGTAAATAACATGACATACAGTCCAGGGCTGCCCAACTCTTGGGAGTCCCAAATGATATTAATCTCTCAATACCTACTTGGCAAAAGGAAGTCCTTAGTTATATCAAGCTCCAGACAGTCAGTACCTACTACCTACAAGGCCACATTCAGTATGTTTGATACCTGCACTGGACATGATAACGCTGAACTATACATTCTGAAGCACAATGTTATTGCTACATTATTGTTGTTGAATATTCTTTCAGGATTAATCTTTCACTATTGATATTCATTTTGCTTATTTTTATAAATTGAAACAGCTGTGGAGAACATTCATTCTAACTCCTTTTAAGCTCATTACTGTATTTCTTCATGAGGCAAGTCATGCAATTGCTTGTAAACTTACATGTGGCCAGGTAAATGGCATAAATCCTCTCCCTTTTCTGTATTAAAGTTTGATCATCTGTACAATGCGAGTTTTTTTTTGCAACTTCAAACCGGTTGCTACATTCCATATAACTGTTTTGACGGTGACTTTGCTCTCTCTTGTTACAATATGAATACCACTTGTCTGTGTGTGATTGAATTTGGTTATTTTCTTCATATTTGTGTCTTGGGGGATGGAACTAATTATGATTAATCAGGAAGCATGTTTCTGCTAAATACTTGCATTCTTTATATTTTACTTCAACCACATATGCATTTTCCATAACTGTGCTGCAGTATAGCCGTCCTCAACACCGTAACCCCAACTATGTTCAGTTTGGTGAATGAAATTTATTTGCACGAGTTAATTTTCTAAATTATTAAACACTATACATTCATGCAAAAATGCAGTGACAATGTTTATAGCGAGATGCCCTTTTTGTTGCCACCTTCTAAAGAAGGCATAATGGGATAAATTTTCAAAATTGTCATCATTATAGGTTGTTTTCTCTTGCATGGGATTTACACGAGACAATGGTGTTTGGAGATAGTTGATATAGTTGTGCCCTATTGCAAACAAGATTTTTTAATCAACATGCACATCGTGGAGCATGACTTATCACAAGGGTGCTTCTTTCTGTTTATTCAAGTTGGGTCTCTGATGCTCTGCTGACTTAAGATCCCCTTAGGGTGGATTGCAAATAAGTCCTCTTACAGTTTTACTATCAAGTTTCAAATAGAGCTTACTGACCCCACATATATTGAGTATGATTTTGAAGAGAGCAAAGTGGAGGGTGGGTACTCATGCGGCGGATTGATCTCTTATCATCCTTTTTATCCTTTTATCTTCTTTATCTTTCTTATGTTTTTTTATCGTTTTATCATTTTTTATTTTATATATATATTTTTTATCCTTTTTTTTTCTTATCATTTTTATCTTGATATTATATTTATCTTTGCCTTTATCGTATCCTTTTCATCGTTTATCATACTTTATCTTTTTATCTTTCTTTTACTTTTGGCTCAGAAATCATGTATCCATTTGTGCTAGCCGATCCCAAAATCTTTTGGGGCTAAGTTTTGGATGTTGTTTTTGTTTGTTGTTGTTGTCGTAGAGAATTTTACTTACTATGAAATACATCTGACTTAGTGAGCTGAACTGAATCTGTTTAGTGCAAAGCCTGGCATTAGTACTGACTTAGCATGTGGAGAGTGAATTAATGACTCCAGTAATCCCACTATTGGGTTTCCTGAAACAAAAACTTAGAGGACTGTATGTGTGAGATCCAACTGCAATAAAAAGATCTGTTTTGGATGGGCTATTTTGAATACAACCCTCTACAATTAGGGTGTGTGTTGAACTGTTGATGGACAATGACTGTTATTTGGCCCATCATTATTATCCTGTATTACTGATTGCAGGTGGTGAGCATGAAAGTTCTTGCAAACGAGGGTGGATCGACAGAAACTCGTGGTGGTGCTTATTGGTTGATTTTGCCTGCTGGATGTAATTACTTTCTCTCAGGAATAACAAAATGTGTTCTTACTTTTAATGGTTTTTCTCTCTAACTTGATACTATATCCATTCTTCTGTTTCTTCCCCACAGATCTTGGTTCTTCGTTTTGGGGAATGGTTCTGATACTAGCATCAACATATCTTCTGACCGCACAAATTGCTGCTGGTTGTTTTATTGCAGCGCTAGTTGTGGTACAGTTCTATGCCAAAAATGTAAGAATCTAAAAGATGAGTCAAAACATGTGTTTGCAACTCTAAATTTTTCAGACAATATATTTTCTGGAAGAGGGTAGAAATATTTTCAGTCTAGGTTATCTGTGCTTTGAGTAACTCATTTAAAATTTTTAAACAGTGGACGCTTCGAGGACTTTCCATTGGTAAGCACATTCAGGATCTTGATAAGGGCCAAAGATGATATAGATGTACTTCCACGCGTGCACTGAAAATTTTCCTTTACCAATTGAAATTTGGCAGGATTCATCGTTTTCATTGCTTTAGTATGGGTTCTTCAAAGAATGACTGAAGTGCGGGTTCTTCGCTACGTCATTCTTTTCATCGGTATGGATCTATTCTATCAGCACCTTCCTTCGCACGAGGCCCACTCCAGTACTAGGGGTATCGTGCCTATACTTCTGTTATTTCCATTGTTTTATGCTGATAAAGGAACCTGTGAACTGCAGGTGTTATGAACAGTTTGTTTTCTGTCTATGGTACGGTCTTATCCCCAATCTAGGACTACAAGTTTGTGTTTATAGAAAAGGCTTGTCATTTACTGAAATATTGCGTTGCAGATATATATGATGACTTGATATCGCGGAAGGTTAACTCAAGCGATGCGGAGAAGTTTGCAGAAATTTGTCCATGCCCTTGCAATGGTGTTGCTTGGGGAGTTATCTGGTTTGTACTTGCACTTAAGTTGGAAATCAACCTGTTTTTTGTCTTCAAGTATGTGATGTTTCATTGCAATGTTATGGATGGACTGAGAATGCTAGTTCATGTAGCCGAAATCCGCCAGAGCTGTGAAGTCATCTAGATGCATTTATTAAAATCCTCTTTTTTTGTTGATGCAGGGGGATGATATCTTTCATATTTCTTTGCGCGGCAGTTTACCTTGGACTTGTTATTTTATCTTGAGGTGATATGCCAAATTCATTGTGTGAAGAGAGAAGAGAGTCCATTCGTGAATCTAGGTTGGGGCCGTACTTCAATTCCCATTTAATTCATTCTTCCAATGTACATTTTCAAGTACATGCAATGCTATATTACGGCCCACCATAATCTTTGTCCAACTATTCATTTTAATGTGTATCCACCCCATACTTATATTAATCTTAATCAATGTGGGTCATGTAAATTTACTTTAATTATTTGCCTAAATGTTGCTCATGAATAAACTGCGGCAAGGCAATCGAGTGCTTTATGTTGGTCGAGTGTGGCAAAGGATACTGCTTTCACTGAACTGTTATTTCAGTTGTCTTGTATTATACCAAGTGTGTATGTACTCTGGATGTCCATTAGGACTTCGTTTGAAATTTGTTTTTTATATTAATTAATTAATTAATTAATTAATTGTGTTGCTTGATCTTATTGGTTGATCCGAGAGCTATCATGGTCGGATTGCGCAAACAACATGACTCATATATATATGAGTGATTTAGATTTTGTTTTTAGATCACCTATGTTGATATTATAGAAATCATAAACCTTACATCAGACATAGAAATGTTGCCATATGGGAGGGGCTTAATCTGGATGTCCATTAGGCCGTTAGTTGCTTCAAAACTCTTATATGTTCAACGAAAAGTCTCGCTTAGTTTTGGATAAATTTTTCTATGTCTCATCAGATATGAGGGGATCTTTTAGTTATTAGTCTAATGTCTCTAATGGGATGGAGCCTGGAGGGGCCTAGAAGCCTCAATACCTCCAATCATTACTAAACTAGACACCACAAACACAAACAATCCAAAAATGAAAAGAATTGTCTAACGGATGAAATATAAAACTTCGTAATTGGGGTAACAGACTAACAGTACACTTCGTAAGTTACTTAACTTTCCTAGACTAATAATTACTCCCTCCATTCCGAAATAATTGTCCTGCTTTCCTTTTCGGTCCGTCTCGAAATAATTGTCTCCTTTCCTTATTTGGCAAATAAATCTATACAAAACAGTGTCAAACAGTGCAAAACAATGCCAAACAGTGTCGCTACAGTGCCAAACAGTGTTGCTACAGTGCCAAACAATGTCGTTACAGTGTGAAGTTAACTTTGTTTTCTTAATCTGTGTGAAGGTCAAAACAGGACGATTATTTCGGGACGGAGGGAGTATTACAATAAGCTATATATGAATCGAAACTTATATATTAAACAGACTTAGAGCCCATTTGGTAACACTGAAATTGGCTGAAGTAGCTGTATTGGCTAATTCTGATGATTTATGAAAAAAAATATGTTTAAAATATTTGTTATTAATAAATAAAAGAAATAATTATATGAAAAATAGCTCAAATGATCCTCCATAGTAACCTCAATCAATTCAGCCAGAAAACTGACTCAACCTTACTTTTCTTATTATTACACAATTATGTGCGCGAAATAAAAAGTTATTTGTTTGGTAAAAAAACTGTCTAATAAGCCTGATAAGCCGAAAAAATGTCACCAAACGGGTTCTTAATAATTAAACAGAAATTGTAATAAAGGTAATAAAGTTATTAGACTTTGAAAATGAGAAAATATCGTGGTGTGACTAATAATAGATACTCCGTAATAGAGTGACACATGACAATAGTAAATAATGGAGTGACACATGACAATGTTTCCCGACATTTATCTTACTGATTTTTGAGATCTGTCCACTGAGTGAAAAAATGAACGTTTAATAGTAATGAAAAATTAATAGAGTCCTTAATTAATGTTTAGTGGTAATTGATTCAATGAATGACACATGACTATGAGTTTATAATAGAGTGACATGTGTCAATATGTACTTTCAATGTGACTTTCAATTGTATAATATATAGATATAGATATAGATATAAATATAGATAGATTCTAAGGATATTATGGTTATTTCCATAATCTTACCATCCATGCGTCCATGATTTTAGTGATAAGCATAGTCATACCACACATACAAAACATAGTTATTCATACATTAAGAAAACACTTGTGTTTTTAATAATATCTAGGTATTGAACCCTATATATTACGGATTATACATTATTAACATGTTATTATATTCATTAAGTACTCCTCACATTTTCATACTTTTCACATTTTCATATTAGTCAAATTAGCCACATTATCAGAATAGTTACATTTTAATACTAGTTACATTTTAACATGTCGGCCGGTAGAAAATCGGTTGATTTAGGTAATCTCCAATGCCACCGTACGAAGGAGATTTTGCAATCTCATCTTTCTTCGTAGTCTCGTGGTAAACGCCACGTTGGGGCAACATTTTCGTCTCAAAGCCATGATGATTGGGAGACCAAATTTAACCCTAGAGATGCCATGTCCGATAAACAAATGGCACAAATCTTGTCGCAACATCAAGGGTAGATTCTAAATCAAGAAATCATTACCGAGATTGACAAAGAGTTGGAGGACGATGACGTCAATGAGGAGCTCCCGGTGGGGGAGGACGAGCAAGGGGGATACCCTCGACGAGGAGGAGCAAGCTAAGGGACCGACACTGGTTCATCCCAACCAGTGGCGGACCTTGTATAGTTCCAGAGTATTCACTTGAACACCCACAAATAAAAAAACATGCAAGTATATAGTGTAAATTTAATATAAATATATTTATTTTTCTTTATATTTATTCGTTCTCATCTTTTTAAATATCACTTTATCAAGGTTAAGGATCCGATAGACGTAAAGTGGTATGTACATTGCAAATATTGTGAATAAGTATTGTGCATGGCGATGTCGGGGGTACGACACTTGAACTCGAGACATCCCGCGGAGGTGGCTAGAATAGAGGAAAATGACAATTTGAAAGCTATGTCTGAAAAAATATGTGAAGAAAATATCGAGGTTTGCAAATGATAAATCCTTTGATAATTTCTTTTATAATGATGAGGAACATTTGAAAGCTATGTCTGAAAAAATATGTGAAGAAAATTTATCTTTTATTTTTTCTGAAAGTCTTGATTTACGTGTTTATGCTCAAGGTACTTTGGCTGTGTTCGGCATGGCTAATAAGCAAAAAAAGGGCTACATTTTTTAAAATTCAGTCAATTATAATCAAAGTTATCATGTTTGTTTAAAGGGCTGAACAGGGCTTGAGCTGAAAAATATCGTCTGAGATGAAACGTTTGTGATGGTAACTTTAGATTCAGTCCGCCGTTTCCAGACTTCATATACTCGTTATATCCTCACTGCCATATATATTCTTCTCAAATTTTTGTTCTCCATTATCGCCAGGCTTTTTTATCGTTTGAACTATGAAGGTATGCAACTCCGCCCATTCCTTCAATTATCGTCACATATACGTATTTTACATTAGAACTATATGTATGGCGGCATGGGTGTCAACTTTCTGTGCTGCTGCGGTATTAAGTACTATACTGAAAATTAAATTACTATATAAATGACACATGGGGGGTTAAACTCTCACATTTTTAGATTTAATCAACCAGGTGTACATCAACTTTCACATTATCAATGACTTTAAATTAATTCTATTGTACGAAGTATTTTAAATTCAGAAATATTATTTGTATACACACTGATGGAGTATTAACTCCTAGAGAGAAGTGAGAACTAGAGAGAGAAGTGTTATAAATTCTTGATATTAATGATTTGTGAAGCCCCTACAACTACTCTCAAGGGGAGTATTTATAGAGGAAATTAGGGTTGGGCTCCCAACTCTTGGGCTTGGGAGGCCCATTTATAATTGGGCCACTACTGGGCCGAGTACAAAGAATGTAGAAATGGCTAAGTATGGAATCCGGTTCTGTGAGTTCTTTGTGGTTGACGAGGGTCTGGCCGACGGAGCCATGGCCGATGGTGACACCCGGTTCCACTGTCTTCTGCATCATAATCTGAGTCGATATCTTTCGGGCCGATGGAGGGCCATCTGGCCGACGGAGGCCCACTGGGTGACAGCTATGCCTCTTATTCTTCTGAATATGTGGGTCTTGGGGTCCAGGCCCATATACTCCATCAGGAGTCCCCCACTCTCTGAGCTGAGATGCAGACGAAGTGAGGGAGAGTAGATTCCATAGTCTCGATATTTTTATGGCCGATGTGTCCGTCTCCTGTTTTGGTTCTTCGCGTTTGACCGTTGTATGCGCTTTACTGTGGACGAAGAAGGCTGATGTTCCTCTGATGATGCACGTTTGTTTGTTTGTTTGTTTGTTTGAGGATGATGAGTGTCCTGGCTTAGTGGCCGATATGCGTTCTTGATTTGAATAGCCGATGAGGATAATGTTTCTTCTTTCTGGCCGTTGGCGGTTGCTTTTTGTGTTTTGGCCGAGGAGGCCTCATGATTGCTTTCGTACTTCAGGCCGAAGCGATGATATTCGTAGTTTGGTGTCCATCTTTGAGGACGATAGCGGCACTGATCCAGAAGGAGTGCGTATTTTGATCCTATGGACGATGATGACCCGAGGACGTTGTGTTCCCGTTTTCTCATCTTGGTCGGGAGTGGAGTACGTGATCTCAAAGCTGTTGAGTGGCACGCGTTAAGGGACGACACGCGTCACATTTTGGGAGGTGAGCTGTACTTCTTTGTTTGCTGACTTTGTTGCGGCCGAGGGTGCACCTCGAGGTCCTGGACGTTATGGTGCATATATGACATAATGTGGTTGTAGTTGTGGACTTGTGTGTTTTTGGATTTTTAATTTTGTCCTTGCTTGCATTTAGAGGCCGGTGTAGTCCCCCAGTCCCCCACTGCTTCAGGCCGAAGAGTGAGCGAGGGGTGAAGGAGTAAGGTGTAGTCCAAGGCCGAAGCGGGATCCTTGTATTCCCCTGAATCCAACCCCTTGGCGATTTCTGACCAAGGTAACCCTGTGGGAGAACCCTTGGACGCAGGTCGCTTTCAAGAAGTTATCATCAGGGTTTTATACAAGGCCGATGACTGTTGGATTATTTTTTGCTTTGCTGTTGTGGCCGTTGGAGGGGCCCTGTTGTTGGTAGCGTGTTAAGCCGATATGGGCGCACTTTGAAATGGGGCCAGCCGGTGTTCTTCCATTTCTGAGAAAGGGAGGTCCCTATTGCATTCTGAGATAACGAAGTGCTGCCCAAATTTCTAGAGAGATAAAGTGCTCGCCGGTGTTCTTCCATTTCTTCAAAACTTCAAAGATCAGTTCATCGAACTTTTCTCCAATTTCTTGCATGTTTTGCTTCCTTAGGCCTTGATCTAGTGTTAGTAAAAAAACCAACCTTAGATCTAAAGTAGTTCCCCTTAGGCCAAGTCTCTGGATTATGGAGTGGTGGAAGAGTTCTGTGAGGAGATGGAGGATTTGAGCTCCTTCAAATCAGGGGAGCCAGAGGACGATAGAAGTGCGGACGAGGAGGCCGCCTCAGCATCTGAGGGCGAGGACGTAGACGTCTCCCGCGCCATGATT